GAGAAATGGGAATGAACACAAAAGCGATTTTAGTTACTACTGTTTGAGATTAATCAAGTGTTAATATAAGAACACTACAGGAGGTCAGTCGCTACCTGAATAGCTTAATGGTAATGTCTTAGTCTGTGAAGTTGGATAATCTGAGGCCGTATCTGACACGGAATATTAGTTCTGTCAAGGTAATATGATAGTTCTACATTAAACATTTATAAAGAACTTAGTTTTCAACACAATTTAATTCATGCTGAAATACTCATCTTGTACTTTATTCTCGTCATTCAGTCAAATTACTAAAATAAAACGTAACTTTAAAAATAGCCCTGTGTTTTCTTCAAACATCATTTTATTCTTTGCTATTTATAGAACGATATACTGCTTGTATCCCGAAATCACCAGTTAGACAATTATTAGAACTGGAACCGGAAGGAACGAAATTCGAGTAAGTTGTGTGAAATAGTAGACAATTTTCAGATGTTCATAAGCACCATACTTTGTATGCAGCTGAATTATCAAATCATTAACCAGTTGTGGAACCATGTTCGAGATTAAGATATTATGCGTATCCGTATATTTGTGTAGAAGAACATTGATACTTATCTTCTTAATTTAACGTAGGCAGAATCTTCCCAAAGACATGTCGCAGTAGTAATGCACTGGCTTTGCACTTGAACACATTGATCTGTTGTCGCGACTCTCTAAGCATTAAGGATTTTCAAAACTCATTACGTTCACACTATTCCTAAACGGTTGATTGCGTACCAAATCATGGCATTACCCTGTACATAATATCAGATATTACGTTTACTACCATTTATATCAGACGCCATGTACTGCATACAAGGTATTTCATAAACAAATTGTCTTAGGACCGGGTTTAGGAGTTTGGTTTTTCAGGTCGTAAGATCTAAAAATATAACTCAATATGTCTACAAGCATGTAACTACACATGTGTCGTTTCTTTTAGGCGGCTAGAAGCTATCAATACATGGCTCTAGACATAAGTTTCGTACTAATCGACTAGGTGTAATACGGTTGGGTTGTTTTCTTATAGAAAGGTTATGAACTCCAATTAATGACAGCTCACTCATCTCCCCTCGTAAGACTGCATATGACCATTAAGCTAAGTATTAGTGTTCGATTACATCTCTATAAAGTCACCAATAAATAAACTTTTTGACAGCACAGTAATCTAAAGTTCCAGTTCAATACATGATGATCATTTGATGGTAAATAGTGATACTATTTTCATGTAAATTGTTTTCGTAAGATTAACCAAAAAAGCATTTCATAAATTTCATTTATTTGTTTAGGCGGGCTCGACGAATGGTGGATGGAAGAATTTCAGTTTGTGCCCATGTATTAGGTAAAGGTCGATTTTATGGTGTTGGACGAAATTATCGATTGGCCAAAAGCTTAGCTGCTAAACGTGCTTTAAGAGTACTGCGTAGATTAAATCAGCCGTCTCAAACCACACCATTAACTGCTAATGGAGACTGCCATCAATAATCATGTCCTATTTAAATGGGATGAAACTGTTTCCAGTGAATATTTTCTTGCGCTAATGTATATTTTGACATTCCTTGTATATGTTTTATTGAAATATCATCGAAACTGACAAGCTAGTTTGATTTTCACCTGTAACTGTACAGTGTAACAATTATTCTATATCAGTCAGTAGTAGTTCAGTAGTTCTATGTTAGAAGTCAACAGATGCTTAGACTTCGTTCTAATTTAAATATCCACAGAGGACAATTATACCTATTACCGGTGAAAAAAATCGACAATTGTTGCGTCTTCCTGATTTCAAATTGCTAAAAGCTTTCACGATTTCGCTTGCTCCAACAACTTTCGAAGAGTTTAATAATGGCTACAACCAATGAATGTCTTTAAATGACTGTTTTCGCGATTGAGTAGTTTGTGTCGTATTGAGATATGAGCAGTGCAGTTTACACAAACGATGTAGTCATATGCTGTGTACATTATTGATCCAATCCGTGAATTCAGGATCACATTCGTCAGCTAAATTAGCAGAGCGATGAGTTAAATCTGCCCATAACTCTTTGTCACTGAAATTTTAACAGCTAGAAAAGCTCATCCAAATGTGGAAACAGTTATACTCATGATTTATAATATAAGGTGATAGTGGTAAGTAGGTTTCACCCTCGTAAACTTACTTGGTTTGATCTAGAGAGTATTAAAGGCTTAAAACAGAATTCAAGGGTTGTGGATGACAAATATGTCCAATTTCAACTAGAAAAAGCACATCTTACAATCAGTTTACGATAAGTCAGATACTTCGGTTTTCTCTTGTCACAAACAAAGATGATCGGTAGAAGTATTTATGAACTGAATGCTTTGGATACTTTGCATTCAAATAGTCTTCACCCAAGGTTTTCAGAGAAAATATATCGTCATGTCTCACTGACTCGAAGCGTGTGCAGAGGGGATGTGTTTATAGACAGTGTTACTTTCAAGAGTGATAAATGGACACATACACCAAACGGAAACTGTCTGATAATGTAAGTTATTCAGGCTTCACGGATAGCAGAATGTAATGTTCTTTTAGGGGATAAGTGGGGAATATAAGTCGTTAAAACCACCGGAGAAAGGAAAACTACCAAACAAACCGCGAGAATGGGCGAATTATTTGTGTTAATTCATGCTTATGACCTTAACAGTAGTCGATTGGACATATCCATATAATCGGAATCTGTATTCATATCGTATACTATTCATTATCGATACTGAGCAATATAATTAGTCTTCTAATAGGTTTATGGAAGGAACTGACAGCAACCCTAAAAGAAATTAGTAATGCAGCGAATAAGCATCCCAAGACGCTTGGTAAGGTGAAAAAGAGGATCTTCAGCAAAACCAGTGTCGATCACTCTGTCACAGCTTTCTTTTTTATTGATAAAATCTGGGCTAAAACATCCTATTGTCACTAAGCATTGAAGTTTCAGGCGTCTTGACGTATCATCTTTGTAGGACAATATACAGCAGTTGTACTAAGAATCCTATCTTTAACGTGATATGCTAGATAACGTGGATTCCATAATTCAGATAATCCTACGTGATACAAACTAGATTGTCCCGCCAATAGTTACAAACATCCTACAGCAATAAAGAGTGGCACTCTCCGAGTGCTAATACTCAAAAGGCATTACTAAGCAAAAACACTGAATTCCGTGTTGCAGAGCCCAGTCATTCGGGTATAGTCAATTTGTAACTTGCTACTCCTCATATTAAGTATATAAACTTATCCCCACTTCAAATATATCTTTCAGAGGTGCTAACTTTTTTACTGACGTCCCAATCTCTTAATTTTAGAGAAAATTTTACGCATTTGGGGAAAATTTCGAAGAAGCTGCTATAGGAAATTTTGGGTGAATTGAGGAGCAATGGCCCTGAAACCCCAAAATTGTGACAGACGTCTGTCACAATAAAATCAGTTAGTATAGACAATGACGTGATTTCCACTTAAGGTTCTATAGGTTAGGCAGCCACATCATGGTGACTCTACAATCTTGGGATTAGGTCTATCATCCTAGTCACAAAAGTAAATGTAATTCATACAACTGAGCATATTCCAACACTTTCGACTTGCCGTCCAGAAGCATTTCTTTCAGTATATTCCAAAATTATCAATCTTGCGGTACACGACACCTCATCTGATAATTTATTATTTATACTTTTGTTCCAAACACAGCAACAGATTCCGAGAGGAACCCACTCCCTAGTTACTTATCTTCTGATAGCTGTGTGTTGAAAGACAACAGTCCATAACCGGAAGAATTAGACGTGGTTTGCCTCTGTTTTTCAAAGCTTTTAAATATTGTCAATCATATAAGTCTCGTCAGTAAGCCCAGAATATAAGGATTCAGGCAACTACGAACAGATTGGTTCAAGTCATCTGAATAACCGAGTTTTCAAGGTCAGTGTAAAGGTTACTTTTTGCACGCCAAACAGTGTCACAGTAATGTCTCACAGAGTCCAGCAGTAGGATCTCTTATCTTTTGAGTTTTTGTATGAATTAATCTTGTCAGAAGTAAGCACATGAGTTGTCACATTACAATTCAGACGGAACTTTGCCGTCAGGATGATCATCTAGCACTTCTTGGATATTAAGTTTGACTTCAATGTTGGGCCGATAACGTTGCACTTAAAAACAACGCAAAGTGAAAAGTAGACTGTTTGAGACAAGTTGCAAATTGCATATATGACATGCATAACTCTTCTCTAGAAATGTCACGAGTTTAAAATATTTGAGCGCCACAGGACCCTTGTTCTAATGTCTGGCGCTAACGGGCTAATTACCTTCAAAGCAAACTCTGTACTAGGAACGTTAGGGCACAACTTTGTCAAATTTAACATTAAAAATTTACAATTGATCTAGAAGAGCATTATTTGGTTCTATTTAGGGTACGGAAACATAATATTTCCCTCACTCATTTCAAAAGGATAAGAATTATTATCGAACCATTAAATAAATTCGAGCAAGCAAATTCAAATTTTATGAAAAACGCCTTTAATCAATTGATCTTATCCATAATAATCTCTAATACCCAGAAGTAGTCTGTAATTGACCTATTACACTATCACTAATGCTAGGGATCCTTCAAAATACGTTTGTAGGTTCAATCTCACAGAAATTTCAGTGATAATGTTCAAAAGTTGGGATCACAGTATAGCAAATCAATTGTGCACAATTCTGCTCTTTACAGGCAGTCAGATTTTGAAATTATCCATTCGGTGAAAATTTTCAAAAGCGTTTCTGGGATTTCTTGAGAGGAAACTTGAAGCATTCTCGACCCTCATGAAAGTATTTCTCCATAATTCACTAGTATCTCACTTTCGCTCTTCTAATATTTATAGGTGCATTTCCGGAGGCGAAAGTTTCAATCTCGGTCACCATAACATAATCCGTTTGAACCGTTTAAGCTTGGACATTGAAGAACACGAGGTCACTTAATGCGTTTATACAGTTTTCGTGTTACACGATGAAACGTCAGCCTCCTAATGTTATAATCGGAGCATCTAAATCCAAGATGTATGTTTTACCATTTGCACTAACATTTTCGAATAAATCGTTGGATCCAGCGAAGGTTTTATTGTTAAACAGTGTTAATATTTGTATGTCTTTGTATACAAGTATATTTAAATTATTTATACAGCATATAGGATAATATATCCCGAAAAAATGTGAACGTTTTTGAAAATTTTAGCGCGAATTGACGGAAAACCCAGTACGATTTCACTGAAGTTTACACTTTTAATTGCATTATTTTGTCTTTTCACCGTAATATAAACCGGACCATCCACTCTTCATCCAAATTTCTACCTAATCAGACCACACAAAAATTATCTCTTATTAAGGCAAATGTCACTCATACTCATCTTGGCTTTCCTAGCGAAGTCAACCCTTGTACGCAATTTGTCGAATCCCTAAAATTGTTAGTCGGGTTAGATATTTATTTGGAAAATACGAGTGTTATCAATCTGGACTGAAATCTTAAGATATCGTTATTACGAAAATTTGTCAGTTAATCTATGATTTGTGCGAGATCATATAAGTTTTCCCCACGTGCATCATGTCCCAACTCAATATATTCAACTAAGAAAGCTTCATTTGTTTAAAAAACAGTTTATGAGGGAAGTATGATAACGGTGTAAAAAACTTGAACTACACCGTTTAGTTTACATTTCTACTTTGTCAGCGAGGACCTGGATCATCATTCATTCAATCCTGACATTGAATAGCAGTAAGCATTTATAGTGGAGTTTGCTTCAATCCGTTTTTTACTAATATACGACATCATAAGGTCAGGCCTACAGTGATGTTCAACAAAATTTTACCCCGTCTCTATGGAACGGAAGAAAAACTGGCTATGAAGCATATTTCATTATCTTTCCCCCCATGGCAACGCCTACTGAGCTTATCTTTCATGCCACAAAGGTAATCTTGCATTCGGACGTGGTACAATTGTAAATAATACTGGAGAGTTAAAGTCGTGATATTAATGTGTGTGGCGATCAAGAACAACTAAAACAAATTTCCACTTAGTATGCTTTCGTAGAATCTGTGTTTCTGAAAACCCTTTCAAACGCCGCAAACTGGATGACTAGTTCAGTTTTCGTGATGTAAGAAGAGATTTATTTCATAGATGTTTTTAGATTGTCACTCACTAGTCGTGTCGCTGTCGCCATCTAAAATACTAGAGAATCATCAGATTAGCAAGTCAGCTTACAAATATGTCCCTCATATGTTGTCGAAGACTAAGGTTCAGCACTTCTAATTCCACTTCAGTTAACAGAAAAGTGTGAACCTGAAAGTAAAGCACCAATCTTTAGAAGACATCACAAATAAATCTAATATGTGCTCATGACTAAGTATGAAACACTACAATATGCTTATTTCACTAGAATCGTTGATTCCAGTGAAAAAACTAAAAAGATCAATGGGAGATCTAAATTTGTTTCACCCATTATCACCTATATAAGTAATTAGTTCAGGCTCGCCTAGGCCTGTCTCTATACTATCCAGCTTAAACTGAGTGGATTTTATATCCCTCACGTAACAACCTGTTTTATAAAATCGGAGGTAACTAGAGTGCCTGTCGTAGGCAAACATTAGACTGTCCGATGTTTATTTAGGTGTAAATGTTAGGTCGTTTCCCCTCCTAGAAAGACATTTGAGGGAAATGTCTCACTATCCCTCCATGGTAGGCAACAAAATAGACTATATGTCACGTTCCCCCTTTGTTTACACAATTTTTCTTTCAAGAATGTCACTATTCTCTTGTTTGCTTGAAGAGTTATCTGTTTACTGTTGAATGTAGTAAGTACAATTATGTTAGTAGTTATACAACTTTTCTTTGATTGTTTGGGTACTATTCCTACTCTTAATAATTATGGTGATGATGACTTTCTAAAAAATACTTATGATATTTAGAAATATTTTGTCAGTGATGTTAACAAATGACTAGTCTTTTCCCCTCTTCTTGGTCCATAATGATTGTTCTTTATATAGAGCGAAAAAAGTTTCATCTGGCGAATTCATGAATTATTGTTGATTGAAAGTTAGAAGCCTGTCAAAACACAACACTATGAACTGCCTTAGTTTTAAGATCGTGTCTTTGTTTATCACTAGCCCATGTTTTGGAATAAGTTTACCTCAGACTACTTAATTGTAAGCTTTTGCCCACCGAAACCTCCATAGAACTAAACCTAAACGTTCAATAAATGATCAGACAACTCGTGGGTTTGCTTTGGACCATACAGTTTGGTATTTTTCACTTTGAGACTTCATTTTTTACGTCTACCGCTACTTTTCTTATAATTTTCTAAAGCCTTTCAAACAATCTTATTTCTATATAGTATGACTAATTCTCCTCTAAAAGTGTGTTAACGTGTCCTGGAAGTAATTGCGTACTATTGTTAGTTACTTATAGTGTACACCAATTATTTTATCTTCTGTCTTTTAGGCGTCAAACAACCTTGGTTCCCACCGAGAATCTTTCACAGTCAATAAATGAAGAATTGTGGGAAAATACCGTCTCTCTGTTAGTATATACACATCCCAAGTGTGAACCCAGTAGCAAAGTAATACTTTAGACTAGAAACAAATCCGTATTACAATTAGATTTTAGGCCTAGATATGGACGGAACAATTATTGTTCCGTCTTCAGGAAAAGTTTTTCCGAAAGACTACCAAGATTGGAAGTAAGATTTATCTTATTCAGTAAGTTATCATTTTAGATTGATCAACGACAATGTTATCCCTAAGCTCAAGGAATATTTTGAAAAAGGATATAAAATTGTTTTGTTTTCTAACCAAGTACCCGCTTTTTACACTACATTACTTTCTAAAATCACCTCTTCAGAAAGGTATAACAAAAGGCTACCAAGATATACCTAGTTTCAAGTTAAAAATACAAAATATTGTGGACAAATTAAACATACCAATCCAGGTAATGAAAAATACATTTGACCGTATGTAATGCAACCTAGGGTTTGTTTTCTATCTTAGATGATAGAAACCGCAAACCTCTCACCGGAATGTGGGATTTTCTTAATGACAAAGGTAATGCTGGAATGTCTATTGATTTGTTCGCATCCTTGTATTCTGGCGGTAAGTTATCATTCGTATTCACTTTACAATTGTAATATCAGGAAAACATTTTTATTCTAATCTTCTACAAGGTAATTAGTTGGGGAAATTGTCATTTATCAATTATGTCATAAAAAGTGACCTTTTAAATATTACTAACATGTTTAATAGGAGGCTCGTCAACCACGTTCTAAATGTTTGCGAAAATTAAGCCAATATAACATTGCAGAACCCCGCACAAAAATCCAGTGGTCCATATTGTTCGAGGATGTACAGACGAACGAGCGATTTTTTATGTTCACAAGAAGTTCATTAGTACATACATCCTGTTGTAGTGGGGTTTTCAGTTACTTACCCTAACATTTTGTGTACCTTCGTCTAGATGCACATAATTCTTTCCATATCTCAAATTATTATCAGTGACTTTATAAATACGTATGATATCTTAGTCCAAGCACCTATAACTTTTTTTCACATATTAACGCTGCTTCATTACGTATGGGTAGGTGGTTTAACCTGCTCTCTAACTAGAGGTACGTTTATGTGACTTCAAGCTGCACTTCAGGTGTAAGCACAAACCAAAATAGGTTCTTTGAGATTCAAATCTGAAAATTCAGTGACTAAAAATTATGTGCACGCATAATTTACTTTAATTTACACTTGGTGGTAGCGTCACGCTTGAACCAAAGCGCATAGAGTGAAATTCAAACCTTCGGTGTAACTAAGACTTCTTTGGTCACCAAGCTATCACTGTACATTTTTTAAGCCTCCAATCTGGAACCTATAACTGGTTCCCTCTTTTATTTTAAAGGCTGAATAAATATTTCCTTTCCAATTCTTTTTTACTTAGTATTATTCACCACTTATTTCTCTCTGGCTTTTTTTCTCATCAATTTAGATTTGTTAAATAAAATCCGTTATAAAAACATTCACCGAAATTTGAACTAGCAGTGCTAAGGGAATTGGGCGTCAAGAATGTCGAAGACATTCAGTGTAAAGCTAGTATTTTAATTGATCAAAATTTTAAAGTCAATTATCAACTCAGGGTAAAGTGTAGTTATTTAAATTTCAATAGCTGTAAGCTTTGGTCAACTAATATTACATGCAATTAGTTCCCTTTATGAATTTAAATAAAGCCAGAACAAATATAGATGCAGAATAATATTAGTTACATAGCTAAAAAAATCCGCAAAATTTAAGCAAGCCTATACAATTAGTATAGTCATTTAGTGTAACATGGTTTCATATCCATATAGGTTTTATGGTTTTATCAACATTACGAATTAGTGCTGTCTTGTGTTAGCCGATTTTAGAACCTCTGTTTATTCGAATATGATCTAACGCTTCACAAGTTTGATCTCATAAGGATAGAGCACAACCACGCAAAACCAGTTGTCTATTAACTCTTAATCCTTCGTTGTAATCGTTGCCTAACGGTTAGAACATCCGACTTTCAGTTATTAAGCCCTAGGTCCGAACACTGCCTCACAGTGATATAGACAACCGGATAGCATCTCTTACTACCATACACAAAAATGGGCGATTCAAACCCGAGAACATAGTTATCTGTAATTACTAAATGAGTCATACTAGTTATACCTCAAATTGATTTTAAGCTTACAACTGATTATCAGAACAAGCATTATAAACTATGAACAACTTAATAATAATAATACAATGTTCTAAATTCTTCAGTGATTCTAAAAAGTAAAGTAAACCGATGAATCCCCACATTAGATGAAAACAACCGTTCCTCGTTAACAAATAAATGCACAAATGATGTTAATGTTTAAAGTCAACTTCTTTACACGCAGTCCATTCTATTTTCCCTTAATAATTAGAACAAAAAGGATTCGGAATGTAAACTTTGATTGTTATTCTTTCACATAGCTTATGTATTCTGTAATGGATTCATTAATGGTGTGACTTCATTTTCTTTGTTTACTCTGTTAAAATTAACGGTTCTATTTACACTCAGTGTAGTTTATGAATAGCCTCCAAGTATCAAAATGCTTCACCCTTAGTATATTTGATGAAAATTAATTTATACTACTTTTTAAAGTTATAAGTAGCTTAGTTGTATTTAATTATTTGTCTCACCTGTCCGAAAGATCTTCGTCTATTAACTTCAATGAAAATAGTTCTGATTATCATCAACAAGTTGTCTTTTGTGGAACATTTGTCACAAAGCAACGTCTGTATAGTCTTACTAACGTAAGAATCATATAAGGACGAAGCAACTGACTTCGCAGGTAATTTGACATTAAAAATAGTGACATGGTTTCTGCCATTGAATTCAATTAATTCTACGAAACAGATATCTTTAAGTTATGTGTGCTCGGAAATTGTATGTCCAACTAATGTGTGGTACTACTATCCTCAGAACGGTGTTGTTCACCTAATGATGGACAAGGAGATAACCTCAGAAATACCCGAGGTTAGTATGGGCTGCTTTCTCTGAATGAAAATAAGACTTTTCTTCACTTCACATCACTAATATGTCTACTTGCATAAATAAATTTACCAACTATCTTCACTGGTTCATCAATAGCAGTGACTTTAGACGTAGGCATTTTACAATCCAACTTTATTCTGTATCTAAACAGTTCAAATCATAAACACGCGTAAACACATTCATCTTACTAACCGAGTTCGATGTATAATATAGTCTGTATTTCATCACGATTACACGATATCGTCTGGTTATTCCTAATCAAAAAACATTTCAACAAATAACATATCTGTAACACAACCGCACATTTGCATTAAATCTGTTTCCAAAAATACATCAACGACGAAAAGTGGGACTATAAAACACAGTTAGTATTTGTCGAAGCCCTACTTTGATTCTCTTTTCAGTAGTTCTTCATATCTGTTTGGGGTTTAAGTGATGTACCAAGCTTATCTGGACTGTCTAACCAACTAATTTGTAAGTATTGGATCTCCTCATTATCATTTTTCTAACAATAATTTACTAGGTTGCGAAAAATCAAAGATTCAATTTTCCAATCATTGGGATTTTACAAATATTTCATTGTAATTGTCACTAACAATTCCCCCCTTGTTGTTTTGATTGGTTACCTAATGACTGTAGCTAAAAACTTATTAATTTTTAAGCTAATAATGTAATGTTTACTACTAATCTTTAACAGATGCTGCTGGTCGTCCAGCTTCTGGAAAGCGTAAGAAAGATCATTCATGTGCTGATCGTTTAGTAAGTTGATCGTGTTTTCATTTGGTCATTTTCTATCTGTTCATAATTATGCAATTCAGTAAGAGAAAGGTGGTTATAACTTTGAGTTTTTTCTATGAATATGTTCCAAAACGCCTTCGAACAAGAGGAGGAAATATTTTAAATAACGCAATCACTAAACATTTCTTAGACACATGACTTCAGGTCGATACCGTGCAATATTCCAAGGTGATTAATGAACATCCAAGCTCAAGTCTTCTGAAGTTTGCAGAAACTCTTGCTACCTGGCGTCAGAAACCTGATTTATGTGTTCAAAATGAGATGACTGTTAATCTCTCTTTGACTTTATAATAAATATTCCTTCATTACATCATCAAATTTTGTTTAACTCTTTCCTTCAATTAATTACATCACTGCGTCTTTTTATTTCAACTGGACGGAAAAAGAATTCATGTTGTTTTGTCTAAATCTTTCCTCTTGCTTTCTTCGAGAATTCTATAACAGTTGAAATAACAACTTTATATACAGCAGATTGTTTCACGTCAGTTGCACCTAAGAGAAAATAATACTGTTTGTCTACTTGTATTAAAAGAAAAACGATTGAAAAATACACAAATTATTTTGATAATGGCTGTGTGCTCGAAAGTCAAGTGGTTATTTGAAAACTTCTATGAATCTAATATATAATGTGCCTGTAACAAGTGGAATTTATTTTAGGATATACATTGTCTTGATGTTTTATATTCCTTTTTTTAACATAAATATTGTTGACAAAGAATTTCAGCGAAGAGATCTCTTTTCAACGGATTTATTATCAAGCTGTACAATCGTATGTAGATGAAATTTTTTTTGTTTTTTGTAAAAGTACTAATTCCGTGAGGAAATGTGAACACAATTAACCATGACATAATAAAAAGATTATAATACTAGATTAGTACTTTTACAAAAAACAAAAAAATGTCACATATATACGATTGTACAGCTTGATAATAAATCCGTTGAAAAGAGATTTCTTCGCTGAACTTGTTGTCAAGGCGGTTTTTTTCAACTTATCAGGTATCATTTTCTCAACAAGACAGATTTTGGATATATATATACTACCTTAACGTTCAGATGTTCGCTCTGTAAGCATAACTTTAGCAAACTAACAAATCTGAAGATTTATAGCTTAAATGTCGGGTTATTGGAGATAACCGATATTAAAACCTGAGTCTAATTTTTATGCTAGCAAGACGTGCTTCCAGTCTTGATGGTTTCAATCTTCTCATGGGATTTAAACCCACATTACCCAACTTTACAGTCTATGACACTACCACTGAGCTATTAAAGTTTTGAATGACCTCCTATAGGGCTTAAGTATGTACAAAAATTGATCATTGAGTAGTGACTTATACCTTTTAATGTTCATCGAATTCTGTTGATCAAGTGATCACTTGTCTAAAGGACTCTTCATAGCGTACACTATGTTCAGATGTTAAGTGGTTGAAGGTAGTCTATAGTTAACTCTGGACGTAGACAAACATGACATCGGTCGCCACTCAGTGATCAACCAGCGTTAAGTTACAAGTATTAATCGTCATATCTGATGGTAATTACTTTTAATTCTCTAAAAACAAAAATACAGTAATTATATTCTAACGTTGTTATAAAATTTTGATGTGAATTAGTACCATTCCGTTTAAACACAATTTTTTCCTGTTCCTCTCTCTTTTTTCATCTCATCTTATTACTTCTCTCCACATTCTACATAGTTTGCCCAAAATGTTGGAATTCGCTTTTTAACACCAGAACAGCTGTGGTTTGATCAATTAGACACAGAGAAATTTGAGATGCCTAAATTCAATCCAACTGAATTGTTAACTAATGACGATGTACAAAATAGTAAATTACCAAAAATTGACCGACCAAACAAATCAGAGCTTATTTTAATGGTAGGACCTCCTGCGTGTAAGTAATGATTATGATATTGTTTACCTTGACTTTCTTTAAGTCGACAATTTGTAACTGATTTCCATCACGAAATAAATTGCGAGTTTTACCTTGGTTCAGGGCTCAAGACAGTCCACACCTGAGGATTCAAGGTCTCATCATAAGTACAATGTTTTTAAGGCACTAATTCAAAATCTAACAATTAATACTTTTATCTCTAATCACCACATAATGCAATAATAGATACTTATCCATTGGTTAATCTCCTTGTCTAGAAATCTGTGAGGTCTTAGAAGGTAATCAATAGTGAGCACAGTATCATTATTTTAATATTAAGATTTGCGGCTCAGGTTCATGGTTTCGGTGATGTGTTCTCGCAGACTAGTTATTCAATTACGGAGCTTTCATAGACATGAGTTCGACTGGACAAACGTCTAAAATCTGTATTGGGAAACCCTAAGAATGCCAGAAAATTTCTGGGATCATGTCAGTCAGGTCAATCGATAATCAATAGACACATTGACGTAGATTCAATTTATCAACGCATACAGAAAACTCGATCAGTCACAGTGTGAGACTAATCGAACAACAGTAAATGGAAAAATAAGAACGAATAGAAACAAAAGGCCATCATAACGAACTAATTCAACACTGGTGGAATAACTGAAAAGCTACTTTGTGTAAATAAAGTAAACGCTGAATATGTTGTTCAAAACGATAATGAAAACTTCACGGTTAAAGTATTTTATAGCTACGAGAACACAACATTTGGGATGGCATTCCCTCTACATTTTTGCATTTATATATATTCTATATGCATTCCTCTGGATTTCTAGTTTTAATTTACCTGCTGATTTGTGGATTAATTGTTATTGTTTGTTTTTGTTTTTCTCCTTGATTTTCTTATACACCTTTTAGCTGGTAAATCGCACTTTTGTAGTCGAGTGTTGGCACCGTTAGGTTATGAAGTAATTAGTAGGGTAGGTGTTACAGTGTGCTTTCTTGCTGTTTCAAGTTATGTTTTGTGAATTGTCTACCTATTCATTGCATCATCTGATATATATATAGTAGTCGTAAATAAAAAGTACCATAGGAAATATGTAGACATGCGTAACTAGCTTATTTTCACCTTATAAATTGTATTTTGTTTGTTTTTGATAGTGATGTTGATTTGATTCATTTTCAATCCTACCATTTATGTGTAGATTCACAATTAATTAGAAGAATAATTCCCAATCGTTTGTATAAACATACGGTTTATTATCATGTTTTCACTTACTGACAATATGGATACTATTATCAACGTAAACAAACCTTAAGATATATTTTTTTATCGATGTTATACATGTATACCTTCTAGATCTGTTATTTTATCCCTATATATATTTAACCTTTACGTCGTAATATCGTAGCTCAGTTTATCTGTTTATCGTTTTAGTTCACAGAGTAATACCACCAACATCCTTGCACTACTTATAACTTCACAAACCTAATATTCAAAATCACTCATTGTTATCTAAAATGAGTTATTTCTGAATGACTTGAAACAGTTTTGTTTAGCGATCCAGTTGTAAAGCAATAGCTTTATATAGTCAAGATTATTTTGTTTCTTGAAAGACACTAACCCCCCTAGTAAAATACAACTAATCATGTAGAAAACGTGAAATGCTAAGCTTGTCTTGTAATTTGTTTAATCTGTTCGAATTCAGAGAGTAAATTTAGCTGCATCGAATAGATGTTAATAAAAGACTCTATGATTATTCAAATAAAAAAGCAAAACAATAACTTTACAAAAATTACAACATGAACCGACCTTAGTTAGACAATTATTATAAATCAGGAGGCAAGAAATAGTTACTTAGTCCTAGTATAATGAACGAACTTTCAGGTGGGAAGACCTATTTACTACTTAGTGCAAAATTGCAATGTCTTCGTAAATTATGAAAACCATACATTAAGTACTTTATTTGCACATCTTCCTTCAGTTGTCCTTTACATCTTTCATGATTCTTCCAATTCTCAATCCCTTTATATTTTCCTTTCTGTCTTCTCCAGTTCAATCTTCTCAGCCTTCTCACAGGCATTCCACCTCTGATCGGTATTACATACTACTTATTTCTGTCAACATAAGTAGCATATACTACATAGTATGAGACTCTTGAGCTGTGTATATTCACAATGCCACCGGGGGTCGGGCCGAGAAGCTTCAGGTCCCGCGGTGAGTGCTTAAACTTTAAACACTAGGTCTCCATCAAGTGGTTTACATTCCTAATTTTAATAGACTGCTTACCCACAACTAAAGATCAGGAATCCTATCCCCAATTAAATTGTAGATGCCAATTTCTGAGGAATCCCATACTAGGACAAAATATCCGACGTTATTTATTATTTATTTATTTATTTGAACACATAAATATTGGTACAAGAGGGCACCAAATATATATGCGCCACACAAAACAATGAGAATCTAAAGACAAGGAAAAAAAGGTAAGTAGCGTGAAAGAAAAGGGGAACATTAAGGAACAGATTGGTGTAAGGTAGTGTAGTAATAATAATAATAAGGGGGGAACAGAAAGGTACAACCAGAATAAATCTTTCAGTTAAGGAAGAAGCAACCACTTTTTACGAAGAAAGTAAAAGAAGGTTACAGCAGGATCGCCACTGGCTTCTATTCTGAGCCATATCTGATAACGTCTCTAGCCACTGCGTTGCACCATCTCTCGGACCCCAACCAGGGAGTCGAGAAGGACCAATACAAGCCAGTCCTTTGCAGCTTTCTTTCATACACTGACCACCTCCGCTTTTTCCAAACAGTCCCAGAGTCGGAAAACGATGCACGACGTGGAATTGTCTGGGACGACATTTGTAGAACATGTCCAAGCCACCAAAGTCGATGTTTCAAGATGGTGACACCAATTGCATTATCGTCTCTGTGCCCGAACACACGATGCCGAACCTCTGCATTACTAACATGGTGTTGCCACTGGATGTCAGCAATCCTTCGAAGACAACGATGGTCAAACACAGAGAGTCGTCTAACGTCCTCAACTCGGAGAGGCCAGGTTTCACAAGCATAGAGCAGAACCAGGGCATTTGGGGGCAACAGCCGTCTAATACTCCCGGACTTTCAATGATTTCTTAACCAAGTTCAGTTCGTGTTTCAAACTATGAAATGCAATAATCTTCAGAAACTCCTACCATTAAAAATAAATTTTTCAAGTTGATCTGCATCAGAACACTTACTCACATGCACTCAAACTTAAAAAGGACGCATTCGAAAAAAGCATTTATGTAACCTCCAGACCACTGAGTCAGCATTCAACAGTTCAGATGTCAATTTGCGATATTGCACAATCCTCTTCCATTGCCTGAGATGAATATCTGTTTCGCACTCGACACTGATATGATGTATGAAAATTCAGCAATCTCCACAAATCATCTACATTAGTCAAAGTAGTATACATTGACCGACTGTTAATAAAGGTATTTTATTAACTATATATAAACATTTTCCTATAGACTGGTCATAATAAGATAGATGAATAGGTAAAATTGTTAATCTCGTGATTTCATATGCATGATACCCAAATATGAATGAATGTTTGGATATTCCATACTACCATTTTTATTATGCAGTATTATAGTAATTATCACAAAAATTAATGGATGTTTCATAACGGTTTTTGTGTGGTTTTCAACATCAGTGATATATTTCTGTGTACAGTGTGTTGATGATGCCTGTTTCCTTTAATGCTGCCGCACACACACTACAACATTCCCTCATTATCATAGTAATAATCTACTTGAATCTCTTCTATTCTCTCTTTACTACTTAATTACAAATCTTGTTGTGTTGACGTATATTTGTGTATATGGTAATGATGATGGTGGTGTTGTTATTGTTGTAATATTGAGAAACTACCCAATTAAAGTCAAGAATAAAATTTATGGATTGGGAAAAATTCCCACTTCTTTTGGTTTCTTTATTCCTCGTGCTTAGTCGTTCCTTTCTCTCTCACTCTCTCTGCGCGCGCGTTTATGTACATACATAAAATGTAAAGAAAATTAATTAACTAAATTTTTTGCTTGGAATTGTACTAAAAACGTTTTTTTTTAAATTTACTTTTAAATTCCACTTCTTAAATGGTTTGACCTTCAATTATCATTGTTCCACAAATCCAAATTCAATATAATAATATTCCCTGTTTTAATCAATGTGCTACTGTTCTTAAACGTATTTCTTCAAGGTATTCCTTTAGAGATAAAATCGTAGAGCTGTAACTTGGATAATTTTGAAAGCATTTTGACTTTTAATCAATAGATTGTAAAGTCGAACCTCGCTCCCTCTACTTCTAATACAATCAAGCATATTAATCTAGCTAAGTACATTAAGGTTATTGTTAATTAGTTAGATTAGATAGTTAGCATAAATCTATTATAAGGAAAATTTCATTTAGACATTTAGTAAAAGAGCGAATATCTTAGTCACGCTGAGAAAAAACTTATTTTACTGTGTCCACTGCCTCAGTCATTAAATGGTACTTTGCCATCATTTGCGACAATACCTTAATGTCTTTACTTTGATTCAACATGAGAATAAAGTTGTTCATCATTTAAAGGTACGTGTATAACGCCTCCTAGTTTTCAGTGCTTTTCTAACCTGACAACTTTTTGTAATAAAAAATTTCATCTTTAAACTAACTAAATTTCTATAAGCCGTTTAAATAAATATTTGATTTTTTTCTTGTGGTTTACACTGCAGGATAATGTTGGTACATGGCAAAAATGTGTACAAGCTGTTGAACAATCTATATCTAAAGGTCTTCCAGTTGTAGTCGACAATACAAATATGGATTTAGAGTCACGAACACGTTATATTAAAATTGCTAAAGTATGGGATATACCAGTGAAATGTTTTATCATGGAGACATCTATGGAACATGCTCAACATAATGAACGTGTAAGACTATTCATTTATCTAATTTTTTTGTATAAATTTGGCGTAAGTGGGATATCCGTTTTCCAGTCAAAAGGCGAGTTTACCGAGCAGCAGTCCGCTCCGTTCTACTTTATTGATGTGAAACATAGTCATTAAGAATCAAAGATATTTGTAGGTTACCGGTTTTCGACCGTAGGTGTCTACGAAGCATCGCTCGTGTATTTTTGGACCCTGGAATAAGCACTGTCTGGGCTAGGAATAGAGTACTTGGTAAATATGCGAAATTGACTGATGAGGTAATAAACCTTCATCAATTGAGGTGGTCGGGACATGTGTCACGTATACCTAACCACCGCCTACCTCGATAGGCGTTGTCTTCTGGTGTGTGATTAGGCTGTAAGAAAGCGAGGGACGACCAAACCAAAACATGGCACCAGTCCATGAGGTCACTGACAACTTAACTTGGTCATGTTAATAGATGTAGACCACCTAGTTGGGGTCCGCGCGATTATCGTTACTAATGATTAGATACTTTGAATGACATGGTTCAAAATTGTTTATAATAGTGCAGGTGCATTCATTCCCTATCAGCCCCAAATTCTGATATTCTAGATTCTTTATTGTTGAGGAGACCCATAAAAGTCCTCGAAAAAAGCCAGAGAATTCTGGAAGCACTGAAAAGCATCTTATCTAATTAGCATTCACTGGAAGTTTTGCCAAATATCTAGAAAGTGAAAAGTCACATGTCCAGTTTCTCATTGGATGATTACCTATACTGCGGCCAGACCAAAACATGGCACAAGTTCATGAAGTCACTGACAAGTGGTCTGAGTCATGTCGGTAGGTGTAGACTACCTGGTTGGGGACCGCGAGATGATAGCAACCGATGGTTAGAGACCCTGAACGACATGGCTCAAAATCGTTTGCAATGGCGCATGTGCATTCACTCTTTGTGTTTTGCCAAATTTTGATCTCCTTATTCCTCCTTGTCTCTTTTTTTTCTCTTCCCAAATTTATTTCACTGTATTATACTCTTTAAATAACATCTCCAAACACTAATCTTCCTGATTACTGCTTATACTCTTATTACCTCTACCACTACGGGATTTGAATCGACCACTACATCTCTGTGCTAATGTGGTGTGGCGACTCGAACTGATGTACGTACGTACGAAGTTCTACATTGTTACTGACTGACTATGTTTAGTAGCGTTCCAGAATTTTCCGGAAACCAAAGGCCATCTAAAATACTATAAAACTCTAGATTTCCTGTACATAAAGGTACCTTAGAGCAAAGCGTTTCTTCTATATTTCGCGCCTTTTCTATCGTGTTCAAGTCTCTGTGTTGTTTTAGCCTGAGGGTTACTAGAGGAGCTTAGGAACCGAATCTAGCGTTCAATTAGAAGACTTATCACTTATAACGTTTTTACGTCTTTATTTCACCAATTTATGTTTTATTCCCGAATTGTATCTTCGGTGTTTTATCTTTTCAATCATCGGTGATAGTGCAACTATCTCTTCTATTGTGGGATATGGGTTGAGAATTTCATCTCTGTGCTAATGATATATTGCAATTTTAACCGAAGCACATACGTACCTGTTTCTACGTTATGACTAACTGATAAAGGATTGGCAAGTGGATAAGTATCAAAAATAGAGTTGAGGGAATTTTCATCTATTGTGAATACTTTCGATTGTATTCCATTCTTGTTAGAACCTTCAAATATGTAGATAGTCACGTAAATGAATCATTAAGTTATAGAGTTTACCATTGGGATCACTTTCCTTCAACAACACTAACGGATTTCCCCCTACCAATCGTGCCCACTAACGATACTGAGACTGATTGGTTCAGGTAACTTCTTGTTGCCCCCAGTCAGCTCAAAATACAAGAAAACCTAATGGATTTACCTCCCACTATTATACTGTTCCATGATAGTATAAAGCAGTTACAAGGCCAAGCATATCATAAATGGGAAATTACAGTGTATTACTAGATTATTTGTGGTGGAAAATTTTTGAATTATTTAGCTACATAGCTCAAATTGTCATTCTGGATAACCTCATTACAGCCCTCACATGCACAATGTGGCTCATAGTTGAGTACACGAATCTGTATTTGTTAAATGAGTTTCATCAAAATACATCATAACGTATAGTGACAAACTGTCGATGGTTTTTCAAACATTACATTTATCTGAAATATACAACTAATGCTAGTTTCCACTTTCTCTATATATTATTTCTTTTGATTATTCCATAGTTTCGCGCTCTAACAAATTCGTCGCATAAACCAATCAGTCAAATGGTTTTCAACATGATGAAGTAAGTTTTTATTAAATCCATTTTTATCATTGGCTTCACTTAATCTAAACATTGTTTACACTAAAATGTGCAGATATTTTGAAATCTCAGCTGTTTTATAAGTAATTTTCGATTAAGTGACCATAACAGTAGACTTCAAGAAGCTGGGTTGGTTGCTTGCCAGAGTTTTTTTTAGTTCCTTACTGGGAGAGAACTTCCACATAACTATCGTCCATTTAGTGTCAAGGAGTCCCTTACTAGAACGAAACAGTTATCTCTGATTTTCAATGGTATCTGAAATGAGATCAGTCTATATTAAATACAACTTACAAATTAAATCCAATTTCCATAAAACGCTCTTCAAGTAAACCGTCAATGAATTAAAAATGTTGACTTTTTGTGGAAAATTTAATTCGTTTTACCAGAAATACATGTTGTCACACCTTTATGCTATTCGTTGAAATAAATGATATTTTATACTCTCTTTATGTTTGATCTGATGTGTGTTTTAGTCATTGAGTGTGGAATAAGTATCCATCGTTCTTATTCCCTACAAAAATTCTAGTCCTATTTGAGATGGGTGCTCAATCGATACATCCTAGGTGTCCACATCGTAAAGGTTTATCACATGTGAAACCTAAAATAGAATGTGTATCATCATTAATGTTCTTGCCAACCTAGAGGCATAACTGCGTTATTCAAGAAAATGCCACACGGTTAGTTGTTTAGACGTTATCACTGTCAATGGGAATCGGAGTGTTACTATTAGTAGCAACCTTTCCAATAATTTTTTTGTATACAGATCTTTTCGAAAAATTGTTCACATGCAGTACAATCACTAATTGAGCAGTGGCAATCGACTAACGTACAGTACTAACTAATGACTGTATATGTTAGTTTACGATATTTTAAACTTCCACGATCTGAAACAGTGAATGCATACGTGCACATCGCCTTCCTCAATACTCTATGCTCGATCACATAGTCGGTAAGTCTGAGAAATTTATTAATTTCAAGACAAAACAAAATGTCACTGATTACTGATCCTAATTATTTATTATTGATTGCTCTAATCAAACAGGATACTTAGCGAAAAAAATATTATTTGAAAAAAGAATAACAACCAACAATTATCACTTCGCCACAAAAAAATTTCTCTTTCATCCAATCGTTTCGTGTTTCTTCTCTCATTTATAAAAACAGATCAAAATATGAAAAACCAACTATGGAAGAAGGTTATCAAGAAATTATAACTATTCCATTTATATTAGACAAGAATATGGAAAATCTTTCATTATATTGTAAATATTTATTGGAAAAGTAACTAACTGGATTCTATTTGTCTTTATTTTAATGAAAATTTGTTAACTAATCGATCAATATGTTCTTACATTTTCTCTACTTCATACAATATCCTACAGTGATATTTTTACTTAAACTGTATCCTTTCATTGCCTGGTCCTATGTTATAGATGACTGACCGACTGATTGTATCCTTTCATAATTTTATTTTTTCATGATATGTGAAGAAAAAAAACGACTGCAGATTTCCTTTCTCCAATACTCATTTTGATATAAAATAAAATCTATATTTATTTTGATAAATCTGTGTTATTATTATCATCGTTATTGTTTCTATTGTTCAAGTTGGTTAGTTTTTTTTTCCATTATGTTCAAACTTTGCCTTCATTCTGTCAGTTTGTGTGTGATGTTTTGTGTTATGGGATGATTAGATTGTGTACTCGACTAAGTCTTATGACACTAACCATAGACAATATTTCAGTGTATAATACTGACTGGATTATGAATAGACTAGAAGAAAGTTAGAAGCATTCAAACTAAACTGTTGTATCGATTCATGAAGTTATTAACTATTGATTTGAGCCTTATTGACAAGTAAAGTGTACCTAATTGAAATGAGAAGCTAATAATCATGATTAGTGACTAGAAATGTTAGTTAATATTGGTCGAAATTTTTCATAGTAACCTAAATACATTCATTCTGTATCCTCTTAGATTCCGAATTCCAATATTATCTTATAATTCTTGCTCTATCAATTCATTTCTCTAAAATCATATTCTCTACACTTCTAATCTTGCTATCATTAATAAGAAAACTACTCTATGCCATGCTGATTGCATCTCGTCGTATTAATATAGTGTAAAAACTTGAAAAATTCACATATGTGTGCTCACCCATACGTTCATTGTCTGATTGATGACTCCAATAGTTTAAGCTCTTTAGTTTTAATTATTAAGTCACTTGTACAAAATATAACGTCTTCAATAGTTCTTTATCGATGTTTAATACTAATGATTTCCATCCTGTATTGTAATAAGATAAATAACTTATCTATTTAAGATTCTCTTCAATATTTATAGCTCTTCCATATTAAGTTCATTCTCTTTAAATCTGCATTAACATAATCATCCTCTCACTTACAAAATAAGAATAAGTCACATAAAAACCAATACAAATTGAATTTTAATCTATTTGTTTCGAAGTCTATCGTACGTATCATGATGTTTAATCTCAAAAGAAATGATTGACTGTTATAGAACTGAAAAACTATCAGATTAGAAGAAAAGAAACTGCTTGATGCTGTTTGATTTTTAGTACGATAAAACTACACATATATAAGCATATATTTGGTTTGTTCTAATTGAGGAATATCACTTTATAGTATAAAACACTACACATGTCTAGTTGATTCGTTCAAAACTTACGTATTCATAACTCTTTTAAGCTTCACAGTAGGCGACATTTTATCACTTAACTAAACGTAATCATGTATTTAAATCTGTAAGTTACACTGTCGAATTAATTACTTACTTAGGCCTGTTACTCCCAATGGAGCATAGGCTGCTGGCCAGCATTCTCCAACCCACTCTGTCCTGGGCCTTCTTTTCTAGTTCCATCCAATCCTTGTTCATTTTTCTCATGTCTATCTCCATTTCTCGGCGTAATGTGTTCTTTGGTCTTCCTCTTTTCCTTTGACCTTCAGGATTCCATGTGAGGGCTTGTCTTGTGATGCGGTTGGGTGCTTTCCTCAATGTGTGTCCTATCCACTTCCAGCGCTTCTTCCTCCGTTGGGATCTGTCGAATAGTTATCATGAAAATTACAATATTTATGACTGAACTAACACTAATCTGAAAAATAAGGTTTTACCATCCAATAATTTTAGACAGATAGTTCACTTATCTAGGAAGCTTCACCGACTCAGGTGAATTACTGACAAAATCTGAAAATGAATAAAAACGGTTCATCTTAATTTTAAAATAATCAGAATGTTTACTGAATTTGAAATGAAATCCAGTGGCTACTAGTACTAAAGTTATGTATGTCTTTGAAATATTTCTCGGACATGGGGAAATCACTGTATAAACAATGTTGAGATTAGGCATAATTGTTCAAGATAGGAAAACAGGTGGAAAGTCTTCACTACCTTTGTTGACTGAAATATATATATATATATATATGAAAAACAACCGGCAACTAGAATACATGCTGTTTGGTTGTACTTAAATTGGAAATTAAGGATGGCCAAACTGACCTAGTACATCAGATTGAAAAATTACTAACTTCCGGTTCAACTGTGGTGTATGTTGCTTATGCCGACAGATATAAGTACTATGTAGGAGCAATCGGAAGTGGAATGCCTGCCAGCAGAAGACTGAATTGAACAGAACAGGAAGGGAAACAGAGTAAGTGGAATAGTGACTGAACTGAAAGGATCATGAAGTATTTAAAAGACAACTGATGTGAGAATAATTTATTTAATATATGGTTTTCATATTTTATAAAAGTACTGTGCAATAAACAATAAGTCGATTTGCCCCATCTGAGTTCTCATTCACTTCACAACTACTGTAGGCAATTTTAAGCTATCGAACTGACATTTTAGAAACCACTGGTGGTCTATTATATTTAATTCAGGCAGTGAATCTCACTGCAAGTAATATAATGACAAATTTTCGGAGTGTTTCTCTAATGTTACAGGTATTTCTTATTCATAGATTTCAACAAATATTATGTTTGAATAAAGTGAAAAGTTTCATTGATCAATCCGATCACTTGGCACAATTTGGTTGATAGGCATTTACAAAAATGAAAAAATAAACAAAATTATATGAATCACAGTTCAATGATTGATCCTGAAAATCTTAATACATTTCGATAATACAAGTATTATGAGTGAATTTTAACATAATAACTACCTGATCACAATCTATGGTAAAGATTTACGGGTGTTTTCATACTCCATTCACAATCTCTAAAATACTACAGTTTGTAATCAGAATATAAAAGTGTCTGGGTTATGTTACTGACTACTAATTTGTGAAATGACTCTGCATTTGATCTGTATCAAATTTAATATTAGGCTATTTGCTTAAAACAGTTTTGTTTGTGGTGAACTCTACTGAAGATAGAAAGTGTAAAACCTACAGATACCCAATCGTCATTCTTAACAAATATCGTTCTAGGTATCAATGACAATGTTGGACTTAATAGTTTCAAATTAATTGAGCATTGGGTAAAAAGTTAATAAATATATTTTTTGTTATGCCACAACGAGTAGAAAGTTATATTTCCGACGTTTCATAACTATATTGTAAGCCACGAAACGTCATAAGTATAACTTTGTAGCGGTAAATAAATCCCTAAAATAAATAGCTCTGTAAGTTTTCGACATTGGATGCTGACCATATGTTTTAGTGGACTCATCTAGCTGAAGGCGCTCGGTCAGGCATCCGCACCAGATCACGTGTGGTAACGCCGTGCTCAACATCAATCGCAATTGCTAGCCAGATTAGATCAGAGAATTCCGATATATTGGTCATCGCCAAATATACTCTTCCGATCTCCTCGACTCTGTCTTTTGATTTCTCTGGATGGGAACGAAATACATTAGAAGGTGTTACTGGTAGAAGCGTTGTCAAACACTGAATACCTGTGACACCATCAACTTTCTACTCATTGGGACATAAGAAATATATTTATTATTTGATATCATCCTAGTTTGTTGATGCTAGTTATAGAGTACACGTTTATCAAAACGTATTGATTCATAGGGGTAATCATTTGTAACTTCTAAACATTTGATTTATGCATTTTAAGAGACCTATCTTGGTTTGTTATTTTGATGATAAAATGATGAGTCTAGCCAGGTGAACACTAGAAAGTGATATGTGAATGTAATGATTTGTGTGAATGCTGCGATAGTTTCTATGGCCTTATGTAGGAGCGGGAAACTTTCTTAAGCGACCATGGCAAGAATTTTGCTCTAGAGATAAGAAACGTTTTTTTACTGCAATCAAACAAATGGTATTCAAGAATAATATCACAAGTCACATGTTCATGTAACCGGTACCTAAATAGATTCATCCCTTCAGGATTTCGAAGCCCATGTATACTACTGTTACAAAATAAGAGTTTTATGTCTCCTGGATAAATCATCATATTTCACCAAACCTCTTCAAGACAGATGTCTGATTTTAATTTTGCTTTAATGGAAAAGTTCTTGCCATATGATAACAATGAATTAAACCTAGGAGAAATTATAGACTCATTGTCATGTGAGAGCACTTTGGAGAAGAACTAATCATCTTTCCTCTTGATAATAACAAATCGTCTAAGGATCTTGGTTTCTCATGTTAGCAATCTAAGCACAAGAAAGATTTCAATGATCAACTAAATGATACATACCGGTTAAGAATCATATAACAAGTGTATATTCTATAATTATTTTGCAGACAAAAACTGATGCTTAGCTAGCATTAGATTTTATATTTTCTTCAAAACAATTCTTGACGGAAATAGGTGTTAATCTTGATTGATTGATCACTGGGTGGTGATCAATGTCATGTGTATCAAGTCCTTCTTAGTGCAGATCGAATTCTATCGACTAAGTTGCAATGTGGCCACCAGTCTAGATGACTCAACACTGCGTGCACTATGTTGAGATTAGATGGTGGTTGGATTACATTTCAGTCCTACAGGAGATCGGTTGCGGCCCGGATAGCTCGTTGGCAACGTCTCCGACTGTGAAGCTGGATGACTCGGAATGGAACCCGTCAGGGAGCACCAGTTCCCTCACGATTACAGGTACACCTTCCTGACGAGTGCCAAGTAGCACGAAATCCGGGTCCACGGTTTCCTGTCGACTACCTCCAACCACCATCTAGGTGTTATCCTTGTTTTAATTTATCTTTTATATTATAATTTACATTGATTGTTTTAGTTATTAATTATTAATTCTACTAGTTTGTGAAAATATAAACTTATTGAATAAAGTATTCAATAAAGTACCCTAAAATCTATATTGATTAATTGAATTTAGTTGTTTTTCTTTCACTTTCAATCTAATTATTTTCTTTAGGAGTATTCACATTCCTTTTCAATTGACCAACCTTTAGCTTCATCAACTCAACAACCTAATTCTGATATTATTATGAATTATTCTAATAATAATAATAATAATAATAATAATAATAATAATAATACCAATAACACTATAGTAAATAAATTAAATAATGATAATATTGAATACTTTTATGAAACAAAAGAATGGTATTTAAAATATTTTAGCCGTTATTGTGAAAAAGGTGAAAAACAATATCAACAACAAAATCTCAATCAAACATCTCATGAACAAAACAATCATAAGAAATATCAACAAAATGAAATTATGGAAGTGGAACAACAACTAACATCATCATCATCACAACAACAACAACAAAATATATGGGAAACATGGACAGAAGAATGTGATATCAAGTTGAAGATACGTTTAGCTGGTTTTGGGCATTTATGCATTTTACGTGGTAAAATGATACTTGAATCATATTTTCTAATTTTATCAAAGAAATGGATGAAAGCAGTAATTGTCGGTAAGTTTATTGTTTTCAAAAAAAAACGAAGTATCTTTTAATTTATAGTATTTTGTTTTAAATGGACGAAGAAGTTTCATTCAATTTAGAACTCTTCAATGTGACTTTGTCTAACTTACAGTTATGATCATCTGATGATTATAATTTAAAGGAGGAACACACCATTGCTCGTAATTGCTTATTACCAACAAAAAAATAGTGTTTAGTTGTTCTTTTTAAAGGCCAACTAATTGTTTATTTTCATAGAAATCATGGAACGATATACGTTAGACCACTGTTGAAAACTTGAAATCCCTGGGCGGTTGTACTATCCTAGTATGGAACTTTTCATCAGTGCACATTCACAAACATGCTGACGGAATCAAACCCAGGACCTCCGATCTTGCTCATGAACCCTTAACCTTTAGACCACTGAGCCTGTATCCCACAGTGTTAATGTCTGTGGTCATTCTCACCAAAAGTAGTTATCACCACGGTTATTTGAAATCAGGATTTATTTTACTACCGTTTTGATTCTGTCCTACAATACAAATGTCTTTTTTTATGTGAGATCTGCGTCCTGAACTACCAGGTATTACTGTGGATATAATTCTGTGCATTAATCACTGCTCCATATTTTCTATTTCCAACGTATTGTTTAACATTATTATTCTTTATCAATCAAAGAAGCCCACCTCAACGTTTCAATATTTAATCAAATTAAGTTGAGAGAGAATATTAATGGTTTTTAATGATATTACAAGACTGAATTTGAAAAAAAACATACATATTATAAAAACTGTAAATACTACTTATTTATCTTATTTCTATTTCATGTTTCTTTTCACTGTCTAGGTGGAGATGAAGTTATGATTCAAATAAGACAATCTAACAGAATGAAACGATTTCGAATGACATTTTTCAATGAAACCGATGCAAATGATTTTTTTATGAATTTATCGAAATTCGCTGCTACCAATACTACTACTACTACTACTACTACTACTACTACTACTACTACTACTACTACTACTAATAATAATAATAATAATAATAATAATAATAATAATAATAATACTTTAGTGAATAACAATGAAGTAATAAAAAACAAAAGTAATTTATCAACAGAAACTATTTTAAATAAAATGCTAAATAATCCTGTCCAGTTACCAGAAAGTTGGTCTACTGAATGGCCAACTCAAAGTTTAGAAGGTCTTATACGATTATGTTTGATTGATCCAAATTTTCCAGGATTTGTAAATCGAATTGATGGTATTATGAAAAAATTTACATGTACAATGAGTGATTTATCATCACAGTGATGATGATGATGATGATGATGATGATAATCTTCTTCGGTTTTTTGGTAGAAAGAAAAGTTGATCAGAGAAAAGTATTTGTTTAATGTACTTCAATTAATCACATTAAATTGGTCAAGTTACTGTTTGTTTCAATTAATTAAATTGAACAGTATTATTATTATTATTAAATTGTTGGTGTTAGATAATATAATCTTTAGTTGAACAGTTTCGCTTCTGATTTTAAAGACATTTTTTCATTCCGAACTAACATCATTCGAAGAGATAGTATCAATCAGGAAATATTATACATCTGTTTCATCTTCGCTCAATTAGTCGTAACTAATGTGCAGCCTACTACAAATGTATGTTTGTCTTATTTACTTCATAATTTATTTCTGTCCCTGTTATAACGTAAGCCCCGTCAAATATCTCGTAATAAAATCGCCAATTACAACACTGACTCATTAGATCTTGATACTGTGCCAAATCAATGACATGTTAACTAGTACGAGCAGTCTGGATTCAACTATGAGTCCTTATCGATTCTTCTCGACTAGCCCTGTCCGTTTGAGCCTAAAGTGCAACCTCAGCTTCCACTGTATGAACCATGTATTTCAGACATACACAGTTTATATACAAACAAATCATACTGTAAAACAAAAAAAAGTAACAATCATACAAGATCAAGCCAAAAGTGGTTGAGAGTTTGAGAGGTTGTAATTAAGAGATTGGGAATAACTTAAGAATAGTAATTCTTATAATAGTAGTCAATAGGTCAAAAGGAACCTTATGATAAAAGGAATATAAATATGTATAATCTAGTTATACAATATGAATATATGTATATAATAACTGTCTATGAATAGATCCCAAAAGTTACCCATAATTTAATCCTCCTTAAGATATTAACAAATATTATTGATCGTAATATTCAGTTTTATGACTTCAAAGTAGATTTTTTTATTTCAACCTTCTGTTAATATTATAAAATCTTGAGATGGTGGAGAAGATTTGTAGCTCAGGTGGATGATTTTGATGGAATTTTGTCCTCTGAGCTGGATGGTTTGGTCATGGAGCTTTCATCGTTCTTCTGAACGACATCATCAACACAAGCTTCAGATAGAAGTGAAGTGTTCGAATTTCTCCATATGCGTTTCACAGCTTGTTCTGTACACCTTGACGTTGATTGGTTCTTATTGACCTTAAATTTGTCACTGTTTACTTCTTTGTTTTGGTTGTGTCTCCCATCGGTTTGATTTTTGTTCCTATATTTGTGCATATGGAGAAATTCGAACACTTCACTTCTATCTGAAGTTTGTGCTGATGATGTCGTTCAGAAGAACGATGAAAACTCCACGACTAAACTATCCATTTCAAAGAACAAAACTCCATCAAAATTATAAAATCTTTCTCATTACTTCTAGAAAATTCAATATACCGCAAATAAAATTCAAACTGAATCATACAGTAAATGTTACAAAAAACATTAATTAAATATTTCAAATGCATCATTTACCCAACTATAAACTCTAAATCAATATTCCCTTTTTGAATGTCATGTTAACCTTATAAACTGACATGAATAAGTATAGAATATGGTAAATTATCCTTTATAGAAATCATGATTATCAACATGATCATCATCGCCATCATCATCATCATCAAAACTTGCCTTGTTTTCTCTGATATTTCTCATCTTTATACATTAAAGAATATGCATAAATTATCATAATTTTCCTGAAGTTTATCTATAAACTTGATCATTGTACTTGTATCATTTTTCTAGGTTGAATATGTTGTGTGTGTGTGTGTGTGTGTGTAGGTTTTCGTTTTAAACTATTAAGGTAAATAAATCAATTCACATAGATTGTTATGATAATCATACACGTGATAAACAATTGGTCAGAAGTATTAATGGGTGGAAAAAAGGGATAACACTGATTAAATGTTATCGGTAGTTGTTTTTTTTATTATTTTCTCTTTCTTTTTTTCTTTATTCACAATTACTCTTCTCTACTTTTGTTCTTTGTTTGTATGTTTATTTAGCTATCAAACTGATTGTAATGATGATTTGATAGGTATCGATATACGGGTTAAATATCAGGATATATATATATGGGATAGTTATTATTAATCAGTTATTTAGAATAAAGGAATCGTGTTCAACAGTGGAATGGAAGACAGGCGTTTCATCTTATTTGAGACTCAGCTGGATGTATCTGTATCCCGTTGTTAATGTCCACATCGGGACTCGAACACATTGCCTTTATTAATAGACGTGCAAAGCATTATCAGCTGAGCTACTGAGTTAAGATGATCAATAAATTGTTTATATCATAAGTGATATATAACTTGTGACATAATGGCTACATCTAGGTAATCCGCACAAAATGTATATATGTCAAGAAAGACTGGTCAACACTCAATCCTGAATATCAATATGAGGATAACTCATATTTTTTTCCAATGAACGATATAAATACTGTGTGTTACTGAAAAAGTACTGTATATTTATTATTCTACTGCACTGTTTATGTGACATCATATTTTCATCCTTTATCCAAATCAATCGATAAAATATTGAATACATGAATCAAAGTATGAAAACTAAAAGTAAACTTTGAGCTAGGTTTATCCTCATTTTGAGTATTATTATTAGAAGCTTTATTCAACATTATATTTTTGGTGCAATATAGAATTCTCAGCATAAAGTATTTCAACAAGTTTCCTTTTCTTATATCTTGATCGATTGTGACGATAAATTTTGAAGGATAACCAGTTAAATGTTAGGAGTTCCGTAATCCACATCCGTTTCAATGCATATTGCCAACCACCATGATGTCGCTGATTGTACCTTTTTGTAACCTGTATAGCGAAAGTTTGTAAACTTTTCATAAACGCGCCTGAATACATTGTGAGCACAGTATATTATGGACTTATTATGCAAAATATTAGTAAATAAACACTATTTTAAGACACATCAATCCATCCGGTATTAAGAGGTGTTCTCATTATAATTGTGTTCTATATAAACATTCATTTTATCTAACTGAGTTTATTGACATAAACATTCTCTTTTAAGTACAGTTATGTGCATAGAAGAAGTTAAACCGGTAAAAATCTGTTATATTAGTCTAATGATTAAGTTAGAAAGACAACTATACAAGTGTTAGTATTAATATAATGGACAATTTTAACGTAAATACATTTGGTGAATTCAATAATTCTAAGTAGTACAATATTATTTACATTCAATGTGTTGTATTAAGACCACTTGATATAATAATACAAGATACTTATGTATGGAAACTGACATTGGAATTATCATTTGGATGAGAGGGTGAGGAACAAACAAAAGCGTAAAATTCCAAGCAAAATATACTATTTGCAGAAGAAAAAAAAACAAACGAAAATTGTGTAAATCATGAACTCGTTTTTGTTACCGGCCAGTTAGTACTAGTAGAATGAAAAATCGAAATAAAATACAATGAAAAACGTATGGAAGAAATAAAAGCAAATTTCATTGAAATTAGAAAAGAAAATGCTTAAAAATCAATTGATTTATAAATACAAATCCATATTTGCACTAAGAGGTCATCGACAAGACTATCAATGCTGAATGAACCAATGAAATCAGCGAAAGAAAGCCTTGGATTTTGGCGCGAAACTCATTCTTCCTTGTAGCTAAATAAAGGTGGATTTATACGCAACGTTTAAATTTCTTAGATAAAATTGTAGTATATAATAAAAACTGTTTCATGGATAATCGGATAAGGAGAGTTGACAAACTCACTGTATGATTATTACCGTTATCATTATTATTATTATTATTATTATTATTATTATTATTATTATTATTATTATTATTTTCGCTATATTATAACATCCATGATATATGAATCCAAGTACACTTGACCAAAGAATCATAATTAGTAATGCTTCATTTGTGTAGACATGTTCTACAGAATAATCAGCTTTACATAACAAAGCGAAGAAACTTTACATCATTAAAGACTCATTTACATACGAAAAAGACACTTTTACAAAACTGAAGACTCTTGTCATTTAGGTTAAAATATTTGACACAACAAAATATGGTCACAAACCTTTCAAAAATGACATAAAAGTACTAAGGGCTTATCTATAAAGAAATCGTAACTAACCTCAAGCTTACAACAAAACCAATACCACTCAACCCTACAATAGATATCCGTAGTGTAGAGTGCCTACAGATGCTGGATGAAAGAATATATAATGGCAATTACAATCCATTCCTTGATTGAAATTATTGTCTAATATGCAAAATCCACCAAATAAGTGAACAGAAAACGACGGTAATTGGTGGGTATAACACACTTAGTATACTTAGGAACTACTCAAGATCAAGGGAATTATGTAAGTTTTGTAATAACTGATTATTTTGTAAACAACTGTTTAGTTATGACTCAGGAACGTGATTTGCTTTTCTATCTTGAATCGTTTTGAGGCCCTGTGCAAATAGAATACTGTTGAGTTTCTACCGTCATCAAAATGTAGCGTTATGATCACAAGATTTGAAATATTTGGGTTCTATCGTTGATGCGGTTGTGAATATGTACGGCTGAATCCCGTACTGAGAAGAGATAGCTGTCCATTGCTTCCTGATTTTCAATACTTTTCTAACTAAGGTCAATCCATCACATAAAAATACAAGGTGTCTTTCAGAGTAAACTTCTTCAGGTCTCGACTTGATAATTATTGTAACTGGACAGACTCGCCTCGTAAAAGGTCAGTTTATGTTGTCAACTCATTTGCATCCAATCGATCAGTGGATGGAGATACATTTATGAATTTCAGAAAAATGAGTACTACTCTATCAGTTACTTTAATTATTTTCTTAGTTGTTCAAACAGCGTATTCTTAACTTTACTCATCGATTCACCCTACCCCTAAATTATTGTCATATTAAAACCCACGTTACATTTGAGTCATTTAAAAGAGTCCATTACAATACAGAAAAACTAAGATTTCTCTGTAAATCCGGTGTATTTACGTTTACAAACCAATACTAAATAAAATAATCTCATCAATTGAAATTGAAATATTTCCATCGTTTCGCCTGGCAAATTGATCTAAGCCGCATCAAGGAAATAGAAGGAAGCTTGAATCAGTTTACCGGA